ATACTTGCTTATAGGAGCGGGAAGGCTCGTTGCTCTCTTGTCGTGGGTTCTAGCTCTTTCTAGACCGACTGATTGGAGGCGGGGAAAGGTGGAGGTCTAAGTACCGCACTGAGGCCGGCCCTCAAGTGTGGGGGCTTGGAGTCCAAGTTTGGACGGGGACCTGGACCCCGTGACAGGAGAGTGGTGGGTTGGTCTTGCTTGTGCCTGGGGTACAAGCGGGGCATGTGTTTCGGGGTATCCAGCTGGGCTACATTCATTCACGAATCACCGTTTCTACGTGACGGTACGACTTGGCTAAGATCTAGCACCGTAGTAAGAATTGGAATATGAAAGAAGAGGAAATGATTCTGATTGCTCAACCCTTGCTTGAAAGTAGAACAGGTGCTTACTTAGAATGGTTAAGCTAATGAAGTAATCATAACTGCTAATAAAACTTAATTGTAAGGATGAATTATTAGTAATACTTTCCGCAAAACAAAAGAAACCCACAAGCTAAATTGCCTATCATATTTCTTGAGAGTCAAGAAATATATCCCCACTAGTCGGTTAAGTCTTGCGAGTATATTGTGTACTCAGAGTTTATTTACTCTTGTTGCAGGTGCAGCTTGAGGAGTAGCTCTTGTGTGGATGATTCTTCTGGTGGGCTCAGTCAGAATCCTTGTATCGTCCGCTAGATGTTGATTTAATTTCCACTATTTAATTATCGCACTCTGAACGCTGGTATTATAATAATAATTTCTAAGACTCTATGTTGTATAAAATGGACTAAGTATTATAAGCTTGCACTCATTATTGGATCCTGGTGTGAAACGTGGATTGTTTCGAGTTCTCCCGTGGGGTTTGCTCGACGGAATTATCCGATGTAGCTAACTTTCGGGGTGCTTAGTGTATAGTGGAAGACAAGCGTTTTCGAAAACGTGTTATTTCGGAAGGTTCTGCCACATTCTTGAGCTTACTGGAATAGTTTTCTTTGTTACTTTTTTATTTGTGGGATGTCAATTAGTATCGAAATATCTCTGTACTAGCTCTGATATCTTCATGCTTTTTTAGATTAAAGGTATTCCACCCGACTTTATTGAAAGCTTATCGAAAACCCTTGATCCGTTGCTGGGGATACCAGCTTACAATAAAGTTCAGACATCTAGAAAAGATTACAAGTTTCTCACGAAAAGAACTCAACGACAAACTCTAAGAACTCAGACTAGCAGCAAACAAGCTAACAACTGAACTAGCTCACTAGAGCCGATTAGAGCGCTGTAGAAGTCCCAGCAGCGATTAAGTTGATCATTTCGTCCGCCATGGATAGCTTCGGCTTCAGGATATCTTCATGCTTTTATTTGTTTTATATTTATATGTGAAGTACACCCACTCTTGATTTGTTTGAATTCATGTATGATAATTTTTTTGTTCTCTTCATTCATTATTGTTTATCCAGAACATTACATGAAATGATCTTTGTTCTTGTCCATGTAAATACTGTTGGTACATGTATCATGTATGATTTTCTGTATTTGGTATTGTGCTCGAATTTCATGACCACATCTTCTCCATGGATGTTCGCTAGCTAATTTCTATGCTTTTCCTACATTTTGCATGTGCTATTAGTTAACCTCTTCTCATGTGTTATTTTTCCATGTTGATGCATGCTCATTATTTTTCCATGTTGTTGATGCATGCTCATTATTTTTCCATGTTGTTGATGCATGCTCATTTTTTTTCCACGTTGATTTGCAAACTCAGGGAACTTACAGAATAGCTGTTCTTAATACAGGACATAGGATACTTTTGGTACAGTGGCTTTCAGTTCAGATGGGAATTTGTTGGCTTGTGGAAGTTTTGATGGGCAAATAAATGTGTGGAATACAGCTACACAAACTCTCAAGGGAACCCTTGAGGGTTCTGGGTCAGGTTTTGAGGTGAGATATTCTGATCTCATTCAACTGAACCTGTTTTTCACTATTCGATGATTAGTCTCATAGTGTATCATACATGTTTGATTTTGTAGTGGCTTAAATGGCATCCTCGGGGACATTTGATAATCGCAGGATCAGAGGATTGTAATGTATGGATGTGGAATGCTGACCATAATGCCATTCTAAATACCTTTGCTGGACATAGTAACACAGTGACATGTGGTGATTTTACTCTAGATGGTACCATCATGGTTCCTTGATTGCTATGCATCTGCCTATTTATAAAGTTGTGGTTTGGTTGCCTATGTAGGTGTACCTGTGAATGCTCTGTTCCTTGTGAAGGTAAACTTATATGTACTGGATCGGATGATGCATCTTTGAGGATATGGGACCCAAGAAGTGCACAAAGCAGGCATGTTGTTCGAGGTAAATTGCCACGTATTCCCTCCATTCCAAATTATAGTCTACTTTGGCTTTATCCTAAGTCAAACTTTTTCAACTTTGACCAAGTTTATAGAAAAATACATCAACATCTAGGACATCACATCAGTTTCAATAAATTCTCCATGAAATGTGTTTTCGTAGAGCATTTATTTGAACTTGTAGACTTGTATTCCCTCCATTCGAAATTATAAGACGTTTTGGACTTTTCTAGATACATAACTTTTACTATACATTTAAATATACACTATGTCTAGACATATATTAAAAGTAATGTATCGAAAAGTCAAAACGTCTTGTAATTTAGAATAGAGGAAATATATGTTAATATATTGTTTCTAAAAACATAATCAAAGTTAGAGAAGTTTGATTTAGGACAAAACAAAAGTGAAAGTATAATTTGGAACAGAGTGAATATGTTGTAGTGACCACATATTAAATGTGTTCAATCAAGCAGACACATGAAATTTGTTTGGTATTTCTGTTTCCCTTATTACAGGCCATGGCTATCATTCTGATGGATTGACATGCTTATCAATGACTTCGGATTCACAAACTGTTGTTAGCGGCTCCAAGGACAGTTCTGTGCACATTGTGAATGTAAACCCAGGCCAGGTAGGTGTAGCTTATAGTTCAAGCTGGTCTTTGTTTTTTTTCTCACCATTTCTCCATTTTTTATCAATGCTTGGTGTTTTTTCAGGTCGTTGGCTCATTAGTAGGTCACACCAATTCCATTGAGTGTGTTGGTATCTCGTCAAGGTAGTGTCTCAAAGTAGTTGGCAAATGGCAACACAATTTTGTTGCAGATTCTGACTTTCTTGTCTGCAGCTATGGCTGGGTAGCTACAGGGAGCATGGATCAAAAGTTGATCATCTGGGACCTCACGCACCAATCTAGCCGATGCATTTGCGAACATGATGTGGGTCGATTGCTTCTTCCCTCTGTGTGCACTTGCAGTTTGTTCGTTCAATCATTCATCCATTCTTCTGCGCCTGCATTGATGCAGGAGGGCGTGACATTACTGGCATGGCTAGGTTCGTCAAGGTACGTTGCGTCAGGATGCATTGACGGCAAGGTGCGCATCTGGGACAGCCTCTCTGGGGACTGCGCCAGGGTGTTCAGTGGGCATGCAGATGTAGTACAGTCGCTGGCCATCACCGCCGACGGCAACACCATGGTCTTCCGCCTCACCAGATGGCTCCGCCCGTGTGTTTGACATCTCCATGTTCAAGTGAAGGAAACTGGGACGGAGTAGATGTTTGCTGTGTCTGTGTCTGTGTATGTGTATGGCTATGGCTTGTTTGTGGTGCATGATTGATGATGGCATGTCATCATCATGGTAATATGCGATTGTGCTCATGGGAAAATCGTGCATTTGTATTGCATATGACTCTACTCGTAGTAGTTGAACAAAGAATGTATTTGGAGGATATTCCTTTCTTCTCTACTTGATTTCTCTTTTCTCTTCCGGGGTTTTCCCTTCGGAGAGAAGGAATCTGTTGTGATGATAGTCATAGAGGTCAGGCGGGAATTCTGTCTCAAAATAATATTAATAAGTATATCTTCGGCCTAGTTAGTTTATAAAACATAGTTTGATACTCCCTTCATTCTAAATTATAAATCGTTTTAACTTTTTTTAGTATATATATTTTATTATGTATCTAGGTTTCTAGATATAACGTAGGTCTAGATACGTAGGCCTTGTTTATATTGCAAATTTTTGCAACATGAACACTGTAGCACGTTTCTTTTGTATTTGACAAACTTTATCCGATCATGGACTAACTAGGCTCAAAAGATCCATCTCGTGATTTACAACCAAACTGTGTAATTAGTTTTTTTTTACCTACATTGAATGCTCCATGTATGCGTCCAAAAATTGATGTGATGGAGAGAGAGAGTGAAAAAACTTGGAATTTAGAGATGATCTAAACAAGGCCGTAGTAAAATAGATGTACCAAAAAATCAAATCAACTAATAATTTGAAACGGAAACAGTATCTTCTAAGCTCAACTTTGACCATTTATATATTTTGTATATATTATATTCCCTCTAAAAAGAATGAAGCATAGTACCAAACAATTTTAGTTTGACTAAGTTTATATAAAAAAATATCATCATTTATTATACAAATGAGTATCATTAAATTCATTTTGAAATATATTTACAATATAGCTATTTTGATGTCATAAAATTCAGAACTATTTTTTACTTAATCAGTTTCAAATTGTAAGTCGTTTTTGTATATACATAGTTTGCATAATTGCATTATATATATGTAGACATAATATGTGTGTGCGCGTGTGTGATCTATGTAGCAAAAATATGTGCTAAAAAACCAGAACGAATGGACTATAAATACAATTGATTAAACTCTTAATATTTGGTTATGGATAGAATCAAATTGCATTATATTTGAGCATAAATTTTGAACGTTAGAATGTATATTACAGGAGGGAAGGAGCAGAGTATATTCAATTTGAGACTTGAGAGCCCAACAGCATACCACTCCTGGCCTATTTTGTAGAAGAAGAGTAGAGCAGATTATTCCCCACGACCCCACCCAATCTCCGCTCCGCTCGCCCTTGGCTGCTCTTTGAAATTTCACTCACACAGGCACTTCTTCTAGAGACTAGAAGGTTCCTGATGGCGGCGGGAACCAGCTTGTTGCGCGGCGTCGCGTCTCGCCTTGGCGGGGCTGTGGTGGGTGTCCCTCGTCGTCTCCTTCCCCGCTCTGCCGCCGTCTCCAGGTCGAGGTCCCAGTCCCAGGTGAACTGAGCTGTCGAGCTACTAGCGTTTCTAATCCCCCCATTCCAATTTCCACCCGATGCGATTTGATTCATCTCCTCATTGCTCATGTAGTATTTCTTACAATTGGATTTCACAGGCCACTAGTCTCGAGGATGACCACTGCAGTGCCTTCCTACATTGGCTGCAGACGAAGGCAGGGACTCGCATTTCATCGGTACTAGCTGTTGCAACCTCGTCCTTCGGAAGGTCAGGCCTGCCTCTAAACAAGTTGCCTATTTATCTTTTTTTTTTATTACCTGTCTGTAAGGACCAGTCCTTGTTCGTTATACGGAGTTTTTGCAGTTTGCTTCCCGGTTATTCTCATTTGTCTAGTACAAATCAATTTCTGGAAGCACTGGTCTCTGAATCAGACCTTCTCTTTTCAGCTCGTTAGTTGCATTGGAGCCCATAAAAGAGGGGGACTGTATATTGGAAGTACCTTACAGTGTTGTAAGTTCCTTAACAGTTCCACTGTCCTAAGGATGCCTTGCTAATCTAAGAGCTTATTTTTATTCGATACTTATTTTTCTCACACTGTGCAGCAACTTACTGAAGATAAACTTCCCCAAGAAGTTTGTATGCTACTTGACAACCTTGTTGGAGATACAGCAAAGGTTGCTGTGCTCCTCATGATGGAGCAACACTTGGGACATGTAACTCGCGAAATCATTCTCATGCATTATCTTTTAAAATAAATGGAAATGACGAAGGGAAACATACCATCTTTTCTCTTCTAGGAATCTGGATGGGAGTCATATATCAAGTCTCTTCCTTGCAAGGATGAGATGCATAACATGGTATGCATGTACATTGCAAAATACTACGCATTGCTATTGTAAAGGGTTTACTAAATTTTTAGAGGGAGAAAATTGATATTTTAGGCTGCAGTATGTAACTATTGACATTGTAACACAAGTGTGCTAGGACTTTGTTACTCAGCGTTTTCTAGTTGATTTGTAAAACTATAGGTTTGGCTGAACTTTTTAAGACTATTATAGTTGGTTATCTTAGTATTCAAATCTTTCGAGGTTTATATCCTTGTTAGGTTTCAGGACAATAGAGCTATAGTTTTATTGTTAAATGTACTATTTATTTTTCTTGTTTGTTCAGATTTTCTGGGATCTAAATGAGCTTCATATGGTCCGAAATAGCTCAGTTTATAATGAAGCCATTGAACAAAGGGAACATGCTAAGAAGGAGTTTTCAGCAGCGAAGCCAGTTCATACTCTTCGTCCCTCCCTCTTTCTCGCCTATCCTTTTCCATTAGCCTGCTTACTGATGTCTTTTCCAATATGCAAGGTTCTTGAACGTTTCCCGCATCTGTTTGGAGAAATAAAACTGGAGAATTTCATGCATGCTTCTGCATTAGGTATACCATCAGATGCAGCCTGATTCTTTTATCTTTGTTGCTTAGTGCATGCATTTTGATTATATTCCTTACATAGTTACACCACTCAGCATTGTAATTAAATGTTGTTTTAGCATCCCAAGTTTCAACATGTTGAATAGTAGGCGCATGTTTCTCACCGACACAGTTGGTTTTTTTATTAACCCTCCCTCCCTCCCTCTCCAGGTGTTTGCTTTGTGTAGTAGGAGTGATTTACCTCATTTTGAAAGTGGGTCCTCTCTGTGTGATTGAAATTGTGATTTTCATGCCACTTGCAGTATCATCTCGAGCTTGGCGTACTTCAAGAGGTGTATCATTGGTACAATTTTTTCTCGTTTATTACATTATGTATTAGCTTGAATGCAGTGCATGCATTGTTCTTCTACACATTTCACCAACCTGAAAATATCATGTAGATTCCATTTGCAGATTTTCTTAACCATGACGGTCTTTCTAATTCTATATTACTATATGACGAGCAGAAAGATGTTTCTGAGGTACTCGCATGTGGTTCATCAGTTAATTGCGTATTTGTGATTATGAAGGCATTTTTTAGATACTGAGTTATGGAAATGATATTATAAATTCTTATTCTTCTGTTACTTTCAGGTCATTGCTGACAGGAATTATGCTGTTGGTGAACAGGTATTTCTTGGTGCCTTGATATGTTTTCTTTTTCCCAATTTACTTGGCAGTTCAGGAATTGGATCTTTATCATTTGCACAGAATGTCTCTGGGAATGGAGGCAACCAACTTGTTTGTGTGTGTGTGTTATTCTGAGAGCTCTGGAATCTTTATATTTGCAGGTTATGATAAGATACGGGAAATATTCTAATGCTGCACTAGCGCTTAACTTTGGATTCACACTTTCCAGCAATATATATGACCAGGTGACTTCATATGGAAAAATAAATGTTCAAATTTCTAAGAAAGCTTATTTATGTACAGCAATGTTGTGACTAGTGTTCAAACAAGTAATGGTGAAACTAGTACGGATGACTTCCCGATCAAAATAGGACTACATCAAGGGTCAGCTTTGAGCCTTATCTATTTGCTTTGGTCATGGATGAGGTCACAAGGGACATAAGTTGGGTGGTAGTAAATAGGAAACTGTGAAGTTGTGGCAGCAGACTCTAGAGTTGAAAGGTTTTATATTTAGCATAACTAAATCCGAGTATATGAGGTGTGACAGCACTCTACACATGGGGATGGAGATGTTAGTCTGTATTTTTCTTTCTCGAACATGCAGGAGAGCTACAGCTATTTATCTAAGAAACCCCATGAGCCCCAGCCATCCCCCATAGATGAAGCTCCTCACTAGTCTGTAAGATCGAATAGTGACCAAGAAGGATATCTTTTGTTTCTTTGGCATCGATGGGGATATAGATGAAGATAGTATTGCTAGCCATAGAATTAAAGGGGGATGGATGAAATGGCGCCAAGCACTTGACAGTCTCCACTGCAAATGTTAAGGTCTACAGAATGGCAATTAGACGCGCAATGTTGTACATGTTGACCTACTACCTACTAAAAGGCAATGCATAGATTTGTGATGATACAAGAATGGAGCGAGTCCAACGCAATGATATACATTATAGGCTAGGGCCTAGGGGTAGCACCAATTGAAGAAAAGCTTGCTCAACAACTGTTGAGATGGTTTCAACATGTCCAGTGGAGCCCTCCAGAGGCACCAGTGCATAGTTGAATCGCAAGGCACGACAATAGTGTAAGGAGAGGTAGGGTCGGCCAATCTTGACATGGAAGGAGGCAGTAAAAAAAGGACTTAAGAGGATGTGATACACCTAGAGAACTGTCCTTGGATAGGAGCGCATGGAATAAGTTCTTCACATTACATGCCTGAACCATGAACATGCTTTAGGTCCCATAATAATATTGCTAGTATTGATACCATATATATATATATATACATATACATATATCTATATGTATGTTATTTTCTTGTCTTGGATTTTCCCCAGTTTATTAGTGACTCATGTTGTCATGTTGGGTTTCGACTCTAGCCTACACAATCCCAACTTTCTTGGGACTAAAAGGGACATATGGATCCTATGTTGAGAAACAACTTTAGTTATTAAATAAAACATCTTAAGTTTTAAACCCAACATGAGCCAACTTCTTAAATTCTTGTATATAAGAAAGTAAGAAAACTTGTGTATCTGAACTGGCATTAGTGATTAAATGATGGAGATAACTATGTTGAAAATAACTTCTTAAGTTTTAAATAATTGTCTCTTCTAATTGACCAAGAAAACATGTGTTTGTCAATGCATATTGATTCTTCAGAGATCACTCCATGATATTTGGTACTTAATATGTATTGTTCAGGCACATACTCGTGTAGACATTCCATACGAAGATCCTTTTCATTGGAAGAAGCTTGATATATGGGAAAGGCATCATGGTCCAAAATATGAAGACATGTTCTGTTGTAGCTATAATAAAACTTTTGTTATAAAGTATGTGGTTGGGAATTTATCCACAACTATATGGGTCCATCCTTAAATAATTTGCTCAATTCTATTAGCTAGATTTAGTAAAGTGGATACCAAGAAATGTTTAATTATTTATGTAAAAATAAGCTTCAAATTGGCTATAAAGGTATACTTTTCAGATAGCACATAAATTATAGAAGCCGGTGCTTCTACCTATTGTACAGTAAGCAATCTAACTACTTTTACAAATTGGCTTTCCTAAGTCCCTGTATTAGTTAATGATATGTATGATGACCATCAGATAGAGTTTCACTTGTTTTTTGTTTGGAAGAAACATAGAGTTTAAGGTTAAGTGAACTTTTAAAATAGCAAACTAGATATTGTCTTCTGAAAAATATATGATGCTATTTCTTTTTAACTTTTCAACTTTTTAACTTTTCAAATACTAATTCTTTTTGGAATGCAATATAACATTTGAAATGTCAAGCAATAACAAGTTCTGCAATAGCTTCTCAGTACAATAAGAACATTGCCTGCTGTGTTGCTTAACACGAAGAATGGAAACAGGGAGGTCAAATTCTGTGGAGGGAAAGGGGTGGGAGTTCCCCAGATCTTGCGTGCATTTTTCCGAGTTTTCCATGCTACGTCACTTGAAGGTTCTATTCTGTTGCCATAATTGGTATTTGTTTCACTTTAGTTTCTTCTTTCTAAGAATTTCCCTTTAGAGTTCCTAATTACAGTACTGATCAATGAGACAATGACATGATAAGAACCTCTTCACTTCTTCAGAATTAGAAGAGATGTCCACAGAAGCTGCTAGAGATGATGGTCGACTTGCCAGACGCCCTTTGGGAAATAAAGAGAGAGAAATCCATGCTCACCGCATGTTGCTCTTGCACCTGGATGATGAGATTCAGAGCTATCTTACAGCTATTGAGGTGAGGCTACTAATAGTAACTCGGAATCCTGTCTCCCCATTGTAGGGTGTTTGGAAGATGATTGTATTGATTACAGTCTGGTATTTATACACGTAAATGTACTTAGCTAGGCATCTTACCAGTTACCACAGCTATCTAGTTTACCAAGTACAAGTAGCACTAAGCCCGCTATAAACAAGGACAGTTTCGAGGGAACAGGTCAGAGGCTGTTATAGAGAAATGTTCGCTGACATCCAAACATAACTGAGAGTCCAGAATGTCATACACATCAGCGTTTGCATTCTGTACGGGGCCTACACTGCGTGACATGTATGCAGATGCTCCCACTATTTATCCAAAAATAGCAACTGATGTCAGAGAACATGCAGAAGAATACAGTCTTCTATTTGGCAAAGCCAAATACGGAACATAGCATGTACTTTCCAAGTATAGAGTAGTAAGTCAAAGTTATTCATGACGTCATCCTGAAAAATAAATTTAAGACTGCGCTTATGAAGATCTAACTGGTTCAAACCCGCAACTAAAACATTTTAAATATCACATGATTTTGCCAGATTCACAGGTAAGAAATATTAGCCGTTGATTATTTTGTAACACACCAGCATGCTTAGATGTTTGAAGTGACCTGTACTTGCAGATAGTGTCGCTTGGCTCAAACATATCACCGAGGGTGTTTCTAGGCATTTGATATTGCTAACATATATAATGTCTAAACATGCCACCTGTAGTTAAATCTTCTGCATGAATTAAGATGAGCGTGTAAGTGAGGTGTATGCAGTATGCATGCATACTCTAACCATGTGGGGTTTGGAGGCGAATCAATTTTAAGTCCATGATTTTACATATTTTCCCGCTAGTAATCTGGTCCTGATTTCCTTTTTCTTTTGCAGCACCTTGAAATTGCTAATGACCCTGAATCTAGGAGTGTGCATCCTTTTCGAAAGGACATGGCTAAAGATATACTTGTTGGCGAGCTCCGTGTTTTGCAAAGTGCTCGTGCATGGGTTGCGTCTTATTGCGAGACTTTAAGAATTTCATAACGCTCTTATCTACAGGGCAATGTCTCTTCAAGAGGTGTGGGAAGGAAAGTCCTGATATATGAGTTTGCTTGCGCTTCTGCTGTGTTGTGTTCTCCTTTCCTTTAACCTCTCACCATCTTTGCTATTTTTAGCGACTGCTGTGTATCTGCAATGAAAGGACTTGGCTATCAGCCTCACGATGACCTCTCCCCCCTCCTCCTTTCTTGCTCTCTTTGTCTCCAGCCTCTCTTCTTTCACATGGTAATTATCATGTCAAGAAAAGATTAATGCCGCTAGATTGGATCTTGGACAAGGTGAAGGAAGAGGAAGAGACAGGATGCTGCAGCGGGCAGCGAGTAATGCATATTCATGGTGGTGGGCAAGCCACATCCGCACCAAACAGTCAAAATGGCTCGACAACCACCTCCAAGGTAATCATTTATTGTTTCATCTTGTGTATTACTTTTCATGTTAAGGAATCAGATCAATCTTGTGGATTCTTCAACCATGATTCATGAACTGTATGTGTTTCCTATCTGTGTGATTCTTGCTTTTGGAGTACGCGCATTTATCATTTCAGAATAGTATGTAGAATGTCTCCAAATTAGTAATGCATCTGTCCATGATGCCAACTTACATCCCTATTTATGTCTTCATTCCTTGCCTGTCCTTGTGTTACAAGTCTGTTAGCAGATTTGAGGATGGGTGGTTAGATGAGCAGCAGCTGACCTCCAGTTGTTGTAATTCTCCTGCTTTGCCCCAGATATGAATATTCTAAATCTATCAGCATTTGTTTCGAAATTAGAGTATCGACTTCTAATCTCTGTAAAACAATATATATATTTTTGCACCTAACAACTAGTCTTGGTACTTATTTGCAGATATGGAACACAGGGTCAAGTGCATGCTCTTGCTCCTTGGGGAGGAGGCCGATTCCTTTTCAAAGAGGGCAGAGATGTACTACAAGAGGCGACCTGAGGTGATCACTCAGGTGGAAGAAGTATATCGAGCATACAGGGCTCTGGCTGACCGGTATGACATCATGTCAGGGGAGCTACACAAAGCAAATCACACCATTGCCACAGCCTTTCCTGACCAGGTCCAGTATGCAATGCTGGAAGAGGAGGATGATAACATCCCAAAGGCGTTCACCCCAGTTGATCCACGCAAAATCCACAAGTCAACTGTTGATGGATTGATGAAGAAAAAGAAAGGAGAGCATCCTGGGTCAATGGTTGGAGGAGCAAAGAATAGTACCTCAGCTCCAATCAATAAGGAGAATGCACGGGAAGAGATCAGCAGGCTACAGAAAGCTATATTGGCCATGCAGACTGAGAAAGAATTTATCAAAAGCTCCTATGAGAGTGGCATTGCAAAGTACTGGGATCTTGAGAAGGAAATCAATGACACGCAGGAACAAGTTTGTCACTTTCAAGATAAGTTTGATGAAAGCGCGGTGATTGAAGATGATGAAGCCAGAGCCTTGATGACAGCAACTGCCCTCAAGTCCTGTGAAGACACTATTGTCAAACTGCAAGAACAGCGGAAGGCATCTGCGGGGCAAGCAGTGGGAGAATCGGAAAGAGTCAAGGTTTTCAGAGAGAAGCTCCAGGCTATAATGAACAAACATGGCAAATCTCTACCGGATTCTCTGGATTTTTCCGAGAAAAACACTCGAAAGAACCATGGCGCGGAAATGGAGAATGTGTGCCATGTCAAACAAGGTGCAATAGACATGGAGTCTATAATTGACAAGATCAAGGAACACTTTGAGAGGGACTGCAACATCTCCATGGCAGAAGTTACAGAGAGGATTGATGAAATTGTCAACAAAGTTGTTGACTTGGACCTCATGGTTTCATCACAAACCTCCCAGATTGAGCGACTTTGTCAGGAAAACAATGAGCTGGAGAATTCCCTGCAAAACCTGGAGGACGAGAATACTGAGCTGGCCAGTGGATCAAGTGAATTGATCGAGAAGTTTAGGCAAGCAGAAGAGGAGCTTGTCAGAGCTCAGGCTCTCGAAAGCTCCTTCCACAAAGATGAAAGCACAATCCGTTCCAATTTCATAGAAGCAATAAGCAGATTCCATGATTTATCAGAGTTGTTGCTATCACCGGTTTGCGAGGACCACACTGATTCTGCATCTGCTGCACACACGTCCCATGAAGGACCACGAGTTGAGTCTATAGAGCCATCATCAAATGAGTGCTGTGACATGGAGAAGGTGGGGCTTCAAATTGCTGAACCCCACGCAGGCAATGCTAGGCCAGCGTCTGGTGTTGGCAAGCTGGATGATCCTAATGATGCACTTGTGGCAGCCAACGATGAATCATCAGGTAGCACTAAATGCAGTGAACAACAATTAGACGTTGGCCAGGACAAAATTTCACGTGAGAGGGGTTCATTGGTACGGCTTCGTCACATTTCTTCAGATAACCTTGGAGGTTGCGATGAACAGGAAGAGATGAACAAGGAAGGTTTATCGTCTTCTGTTGATGCCGTTACTGACATGATGAAGCTGAAGGAGATGCTCACAGATAGTCTAGACGATAAGGAGAAGGTCCTCTTAGGTGAGTACACCTCACTCCTTGAGGACTACAAGGACGCAAAGAGGAAGCTTGCAGAAATGGAGAAAAAGAACCAGGATTGCCTGAATGAAATCCTGAAACTCCGTGAAGAAATCACAAGCTCTGCAGGGGATGGAGGCAGTGAGGGTTCATGCAAGAGGAGCTCTAGTAGCTTCTCTCGCCGGGGTCACAGGAGGACCCCAAGCTATTCGTCTATCCATCAGAGGAGACCAAGCGTTTCGTCCATTTCAAGGTTGATAAGGATGGGCTCGGCCATTCAAGAAGGTGGTGAACCAGCAGGGAGCGGCAAGCCAAGTGATGCCGCTGCTGAGCAAGGGGGCATTAGCCTGGAGGACCTGAGGCTGCCGCCTATCGCCGAGGCAGAGAATGCCTCGCCTCTTGAAGAGAAGTTCAGAAGGGACATTGACACGCTCTTGGATGAGAACCTCGAGTTCTGGATGAAATTCAGCTCGTCGTTGCAGCGGGTGCAGGAGTTCCAGAACAAGTACGACGGCCTGCAGAGGAAGCTGCAGCATATAAACAACGAAGACGGCAAGCAGGACGGGGCGACGGAGAAGCAGCTGAGGGCCTTCAAGACGGAGCTGCAGGTGTGGTCGGAGCAGAACGCGATGCTGCGAGGGGAGCTGCAGTGCAGGTTCACGTCGCTGTGCGACATACAGGAGGAGATCACGGCTGCGCTGGACACGGAGGCAGAGGCGGCGGCAGATGAGGCTCAGTTCACGTCGTACCAGGCCGCCAAGTTCCAGGGGGAGGTCCTCAACATGCAACAGGAGAACAACAGGGTGTCAGACGAGCTCCAGGCGGGACTGGACCACATCAAGGGTCTCCAGGCGGAGGTGGAGCAGGCGCTGGCCAAGCTGCACAGGAGCGTCAGCCTGCCGCCCCAGCCAGCAGGGGCAGGGGCCGGAGCCGAGGACGACGACTCCAGCTCGCCTGCCCATGGTGGCAGCAACCTTGGGCACGTGCCGTCCAACAAGTCTAAGGCGGTGCCATTGCAGTCGTTCCTCTTCCCGGCCAAGCCCAAGAAGACGTCTCTGCTGGCCCGTGTCACGCCGGTGCTCCCGAAGCAGCCGGTGGATATGAAGTTTCTTGCCAAGTTGCCAAGGTAGCAAGCATGCTCTTGCTCTGTTAGATACATCTTTGGTGGTGAGTCAGATCAGATGCTAAGAAATGTATGTAATTTCCCGAGTACGAGACAATCGAGCTGTTCCTTTTTTGTTTCCCATTCCCTCTACCTTCGAGGTCAATGGAGCTGGAATGTTTCCTTCATTCATTTGTGTGCAGATTCTGGTCTACTTGCTTGGACAAATACGTATAGCAAAATCAAAGTTCACTTTTAGCTTTGTGATAGTGTTTTTTTAGAAAAATGTATTGATGTCTACAAGTTCAAATAAATTCTCTATCAGAATATATTGCAGGAAGTATCTAATCTAATAAAACTAATTTGATGTTCTAGATGTTTTCACGTTTTCAAAAAAAAAAACTTTCCAAATTAAAGGAGTCTGGCTTAAAAGCCAAAATGAACTATAATTTGGAACATAAGGATTATAATAATATTCTAAAAAAAGGATTATAATAATATAATGTGGCTAGCGACGGATTCTGAGTCCTCATATGCTGCGGGCCTGTTCTGGTTTTTGCAGCCATTGACGCTACTGCTCAGCAGCTACGTGCTATCAGCCAACAACAGCTGCTTGTCTAACATATTATATAATTTATTTGAAAAAATATTAACAAATACTAATTATAAAATTTATTTATGGGTGTTTGGTTTGAAGAATGGAATAGTCCATCTTCCCGCTCCTCTTTTTTGTTTAGGGCCTATTTAGTTCCACTCAAAACCCAAAAATTTTTTGCACTATCCATCACATCGAATCTTACGGCACATGCATAGAGTACTAAATTTAGACGAAAAAAAAACTAATTACACAATTTGGTGAGAAATCGTGAGACGAAACTTTCAAACCTAATTAGTCCATAATTATACACTAATTGCCAAATACAAACGAAAATACTACAGGATCCCCAAAACCAAAAAATTTTACCAACTAAACAGGCCCTTAGTTCGTGGGATGGAATGGGTTGATTCTACCTCAAACATGGGAATGATTAGTATATACACAAAACTAGATTGATTCTACCAAAATGGGATGAACTCATGATGTACCACCTCATGAAACATGAAGTGATTCCATAAACAAACACACCATTAGAAAACGAAGTGGGCGGCATCTAGCTATCGTTCGTTACATTTTGAAGAACCACCCTCTGCGAAATCAAATGCACGTTGGACGTCGCATGATTCAGCTTACACTATTTTTAGGAGGTGCACGCATGATGCAAAACATCCGTCCTCATTCAGCTCATTATTACTCTACAACTTCAGTCCAGAATGAATGGCAACTACACCACCCACGAGGTTCTCATATTCCACCCTCTGGAATCCGGCTTCCTGAATCATCTGAGCAAACTTTTCCTGCAAAGGTACAAGTCTGGTCAGCAAAGATACAATTTCAGTCCAGAACTCACCCTGTCTTCTAGCTTAACATCTAACCCAGCAAAAACACTACCAATTAATCTTGCATAAACCCGAAGATTGTTGAGGTAGAAAATCCAAAGAATGTAATCATATGTTCATGTTTGTCGATAACAAAAGTGCTAATAACTCACAGCACCATTACCTGATTTGGAAACCGACGGATGCTCTCAACCAAGTATTGATACGACTGCCTATCACCAGCAACCAGCTCTCCAATAGTCGGAATCACAGAAAACGAGTAAACATCATAGCTGAAAAAAAGGGCAGCAAATTTGAAAGAGAACAGAAAAAGATATTGTAGGATAAAACACTTGCTCTACTTTTTTTCACTGCCGATGAGAGAAAAGAAAAGCTCATACTGTTCACACAAGGACCTAGGCAAGGGCAACATTAGGAAAAAAAAATCAAGGAACAGAAGAACTACTACATCACTGCAACCCTTTTCCATTGACATTAAATAGACAGGAAAAAATGATCACTTTCGTACACCCTTGAACATTGTTTAACACAATGCTACAGGTGGCAATTTGTCAACATTGTAGCCCAGTACTTTGAGGGGTGGTTGCTGCAGCAGCAGCCGCAGCGCTGATGCAGCAATCACTTCCGAGCAGGCTGCGTAACTTTTTGGACACTAACTGTGAGATAGTTGAAAACATTGTAGCCCATGTCTTTTCTTGTTTATCTTTTCTATCTTGCATGAATGAGAATATTAAAGGCATCATCCTGCGTATGAGCTAATCCTATAAAGACAAATAAACATGATTGACGAAACTTACATCTCTTTAAAAACAGGGACATCCACATGACTCAACTCCAAGCATAGGAACCTCCCCCCTCGCTTTAGAACCCTGAAGCAAGACAATTGATGTGACAGCAATAAGATTTTAGAACCATCAACTAAGCAAAAAGATTCTGAAATTTGCCAATTGCTATGACAGTAATGAAATTTCAGAACCATCAACTAAGCAAACATGGTAGAACATAAAATGCTTAATCCATGATACTGCACATGAAGACGAAAAACTTAATCAAAGGATACAGCATGAAGAATAGACACAGATATTGAAGTTGAAATAGTGGGGACATCCAGCTCGCGAAATACTTGAAACATGAGGAATAATAATTGTTAGGTTTCTAAATTAGCCAACCTGTAAGCTTCTGATAGAGCTTTCTCAATGTGCGTCACATTTCTGATCCCAAATGCGATAGTGTAACCATCCATAGATCCATCCTCAAAACTCAGAGCTTCTGCATCTCCTTGTACCCAGCTAAGACAATGTTCTTTGCTATACCCTGGAAATAAAAATCAACTGTTGAACAACATAACCCACACTTGAGATAGAAACAACAAAATATATTAGAAAGTTCATGCTTGAGACCTCTTTCTGCAGCACGCTTTTTCCCAACATTTAGCATATTTGGATTAATGTCACAGACATAAATGTGGGTGTCTTCTTCGGTTTCAGTAAGAGTACCCTGCATAGCTCTGTGACCCACACTCTTAATTCTTTCCAGTACACGAAAAGCAACATCGCCTGAAGTCATAACAATGACATGAACAATCATCGAATTTTTCTTTTTCCTACTACAAATTTCTGCCAGTACAAAAACTCCTGGCAATAGAACCTTTCAACAGAGAGCAGAAAACAAGAAGCATAAACAAGACACATGGTAGCAACTGAAAGGACTATGGTAGCAATGATTAACATTTGCACGAAAATAATGCTGGTCTCTCGGAAGGACTAACTACCAATATATATACTGATTACATAAATAGACTGAACGGAAGATTATTAAGATAGAATTACTGGTAAAAGTTTGTATTTGTTATTTCTATGGTGCAGCTGAAAACAATGAGGGAAGGGGATAGGTATTACCTGTTCCACCAGCCACATCGAGATGCTTCATCCCCGGAAAGGGGTTCAGCTTGGAAATAAGCCTGAATGAAAAGAAACAGAGTTTGAGTGATAAAGGGAGTTGGTTGGATTGTGAAGATATACCCATAAAAGGAACGGAAAGGGTAAGCAGTAGCAACCTGTCCTTCCACAGCCTATGCAGGCCGACACTCATGAGATCGTTCATGAGGTCGTAGCTGGAAGCCACGCTGCTGAACACGTTGCCAACCAATTTGCTCTTATCCTCTTCGCGCACCTGCTTGTACCCTGATGACCACAAGATTTTATTTTAGGATCTATATAAGCGGGAACAATGGACACGAGCAATGTGTACCGAAGCTGGTGGCGTGGGAGTGGAGAAAGGCCGCCGCCGCCGCCGCGGTTGGGATGCTTGGGGCCTGAACCTGAGAGGGAAGGAGTAGGCGTCGTTGGAGGCTCCAGGACGCTAGCCTCCTTGCGGCCTGCATAGCCATTTCTGATCCTGTATCAGTCGATCGAGTTGAATTGAAGACTCCACCAATCGATCGGATCTGCCGCGGACAGCCTAGGCGGAGCGCGCCGGCCGCGGCTGCCGTCCCGCCGCCCAGCGCCCGCTCCTGGCCCTGCACACGCCGGAGGATCACACACCGTCGGCTACCGCCCGCTAGGGTTTGGAACGGGAGAAGCAGAAGCGATGTGCGGGCGGCCGGACGGCGGGAGGAGAGCGATGCGCGTCTGCGACAGGGACCGGCTAGAGGAGAAAATTGGGCCATTGGGCCCATGTTGTGCCGTTGGGTAGGGAGGGATAGAGCATGGAGACAACCCTTTTGGTCTGAACTTCTGAAAACGCTGTCAATTTTGTGTCATCTACTAGTCATCTTCACTTTTCCTACCCCAAAAACAAATATTTGCTTTTCCTAATATAAATATATATACATCTACATGATATACATTACATATTACATATATAAAAAATAGAAAAATAATGGGTGTTCAACTGAATTTGAATTTGTCGTCTTGGCCCTTGTTAGCCTAGTCACACCAGTCCTAAAAATGAATGTGACACAAAAAACACACGCACACGAATAGCGAAATGAGTGTAGCTTATAGCTGGTTAGGTTACTCGTGGTGTAACATACCGACCTAGATTCAAGTCTTTGACTTGATAAGGTGGTGTGCCCTCAAATGCTCTATTTGTCAATCTCGTGATATGTTGACTCAATCTTTTGGAGATAGTCATACGAGTAGAGCGTGCATGCTTGTTTGACATCTAGCCCAGTTTGAATAGGGTCTACGGTGGCTTATTTTTGTGTTAATGTGAGTTTTGTGGGGGGCTTTGCGAGGACTCGTCAAGTTAATTTACCTGAACCAGTCTGTCATCCGCCCACGACCTCCCTTCGCTCATCGCCGCCACCTCTAGGTCATCCTGTGCCAATCGCTCAGCTATCACCATTTACTTGGATGACCAACACCTAAGCAATTGATTTTTTTCTCTCTTAATAGTACAGTTATCTACCCTATCAATCGGGTCATTTCTCAACCACTAAACACTTTATGATCAGCAAAACATAAACCTTATTTATATCTTTGGCTCCAACCTTGTCGTGAGCCTTTCCGTCTTGCATCCTTGTCACCTCCTCCATGACATCCTTGTTAGCTCAAAGAGTAAGTAGGTTGGTAGGAACATGTGGTTCACATGGTGTGTAGAGTGCATCTGAGTCTTTTAGTCTTTTACCTGAAACGAGGACGGAAGAGTAAATGGGTTGGTTAGGTAAAGCGAGGACGAAAGCGTAAGTAGGTTGGTGGGATTATGTGGTTTGCCTAGTGTGCAAAATGGATCTAAGCCCTTGAAACAAGGACAAAAGTAAGTGTGATGGTGGGAGTATTAGGTGAAGCAGAATTGTAAATGGGTTGGTGAGAGTATGTTGTTCACTCAATGCGTGGAGTGGATTTGATCATTTTACATGGAACAAGGACTAAAGAGTAAGTGGTTTGGAGATAATATTATGTAAAGAAGACAAAAGCATAAGTGGGTTGATGGGATATATGATTCACTTAATGCACAGAGTGAATCTAAGTTGTTTAGACCCTGGGGTATTATAAAAGTATTGGAGTGGACACGATTGTATGCAGGTCATGAAGCGCAAGACACGATATGAACCATAGAAAACTAAATGAAATTAGTTCACAGAAATCACTCCGGAGATATTTAGAAGCCCATTTGTGATTAAGTTATTTTACTTATAATAATTTTGTGCATTGATTATTTTCAAAATACACTCATTCAAAATCCCAGAAAACCTAATTAGACATTTTATGTGAAATTGTTCAGCTAGTACATTAAAAATGCTGAAATATTTTAGCGAAGATTTAAAACAAAAAAAACAGAACTACCATGTTTTATTAGTAATATATAAGCAAGGTAAATATTTTTGAATGGTTTTAGAAACACAATTTGGTTTAAGGATAAGGAGAAAGAAAGAAATGGTTTTAGAATACTAGAAGATCCTAGTTTTTTAAAAAAATTATATACCACCGATAAGTTGCGTTGTATGTAAATATGATCATCCTACTTGGATGCGGAACCGTTTTTTGGGGCTATAAGAGCTGGCACTATTATCCCCTAAACCTTTTGAACTACGAACACTTGTTTTGCTTTATTATGATTTTGCTTTATTAATTATGATATGTATATAATTTGAGGATTTTGGACTGAATGAAATTATGTCAAAAAGCTAGTTTCGTGGGTGCAGTGAAGTCGAAATCACTGTATTGTATGCCACCTCTTCGCTTGTTGGAACTTTGAAATTATGTCAAAAAGCAGGTTTGGTTGTCTTTGCCACCGCCAGCAGCAGAAGAAAAGTTATGCTAGGGACTGTGAAAGTGTGGACTGGGGAATCACGAATCAGAAGCACAGCTACCCCTGTCTGAGGCATCCTGGTAGGGCTCCTGTTTAGGCAAGCACAGTTTGCCACATTGAGTCCCTTCCTTCCTATAACTAGTAAGGAACAGATGAGGATGGAACTTGTCAGCAACAAGGGCATAGCACCATAAGAGGAATGCCAAGAAAGTGCAAGAAGAATTCAGTGGAATTCCACAGCAAGGATATGATACGATGCTGCATTACTGCAGTTGCCAAATCGATGCAAGGTCAACATCAGAAGCAAAACAGCCATGCAAAGGTAACTACCGCCTGCACAAATGAAGGAGGCCTCATTGTCCGTTGCAACAAAGAGACGTCGTTGCAGAAACTGGAGATTAATTACCAAGTTGATCTGATGCTCTTAGGAGCTAGAACACCAGCATTCCCAGTCAGGTAACATTGCATTGCATAACTGCATTACATTACATTATACTACATTACAGCTGAGCAAGTACATCATCACAAGATTGAATGGATTATTAGCAGGGGATAAACTTACATTACATTATAGCTGCTAGTACATTACATTATACTACATTACAGCTGAGCAGGTAACATTGTTCAGCTTGGCTACTGCTACTACTAACTTGCCCGAAAAACCTAAGAGAGAGATTGATTGATTGATGAGTCAAGAGAGAGATTGATTGACGAGTCTAGCTAGAACTACTACTGATGGATGACCTAGGAGGAAGAGGAAGATAGCGATAGGAAGCAGTGGGGGAAAAATGGGGAATGGAATGGAAGGCTACTACTCTGCTTTAGGCTTAGCAGAAGAGGGGGCGGATCTATATTTCCGTCTGCAACGGAAGGAATCAGGAGGGGGAAACGAAACGATCATCATTGCCTCCTCATGAGGCGTAGATGACGCCCGATGAGAGCGCCATAAGGAGGGCGGCGGCCCTCTCCTCCTCGCTCATGCACTTCTTGCGGCGCATCCGGCGGCGCTGCTTGAGCATCACCTCCTTGCCGAACCCCACCACGCGGAGCTCCACGGTGACTTGCTGATCCTTCTTCTTCTTGCTGTCCTCCTTGTCTTTGTCTTTCTTGTTGGTGCTGCTGGCGGCGGCGGCGACCTTCTTTCTATCCTGCTGCTGTGGATCGGTGGCAGCGGCAGCTGCCTTCTTTCTCAGCTGATGCTGATCCTGCTGTGGATCGGCGGCCGCGGCTGTCTTCTTTCTCAGGTGATGCTGATCCTGCTGCTGCGGATCGGCGGTGGCCTTCTTCTTTGGCTGCTGCTGATCTTGCTGTGAGTCAGCGACGGCGTCGAGACCGAGCGCCTGCCTCCTCCTCTTGCGGTAGCGGATGCCGCAGGCGTTGCAGAGCGACTGCAGGCAACATCAGCAACAAGGAGAAAACAAACAGATCGCCATGATGAGCCCAGGATTATAAATAAATGAATAGAGCAAAACGAAAGAGTGATTCACCGGCCTGCCGGCCGGCCGACCGGAAGGAAATGCTATGACTGATGGTGGATGAAAAACCAGACCTTGGGTCCCTCGGGTCCTCCGCGCCAGAGCGGCGTCTTGGTGGTGTGGCAGTCGGCGCAGGCCTTGGCCTCGCCTGAGGCGGTGGCGGTGGCGGTGGCGTCGTCGGCGGCCGAGGGGGAAGTATTAGGATTGGGATTGGGATCCGTCTCCATCTCCACCTCGGCCTCCATCTCCGTGTCCATCTCCATCTCTATCTCCATGGGTAAACAAAGCAAAGCAGCAGGTGCGACAGATCGATCGCTAATCCGATCCGATCCCGCAACAAAACCTTCTAGGTGGTGCGATCCGCCGGCGATGGATCGCCAATCCGATCCGATCCGCCGGAGAAGCAGCGGCGCGAAGGGGAAAGGGAAATGGGCGGGCGGGGAGAGCAAGGGTTTTAGCTCGAGACGAGACGAGACGAGAGTTAGCGGTGGGTGATGGGCGAGCCGCGAGTGCGAAACCAAAGGATAATGCCAGTGACGGCGTTGTCGATGGAACCCTAACGCCGCCTCGGGGCCCCCTCCGCGCTTCCGCTCCTGTGTGAATGGACCAGAATGCCCCCGCTCACCATTAGGCTTGGCACTACGGTTGGAAGCGGCCCGGCCCAGTTATTGCTCACACCCTTTTTTTTCCCTCTTTGCTTTTGGGCCGCGGCCCCTCCACAGAATTGCTTAGAAGGAATTTGAGATTGACTGGTCATCAGATTCAGATTGATAATTCTCAAAAAATAAAAAAATCAGATTCAAATTGATGAGATTATTATTATGATAATATATGCTCATAGTCCTAGTCCTATCTAAAAAAAATGCCCCCTGTGTTTTCCTTGGAGTAAGTATTAGTCCTTAGTTCCAAATTATAAGTCGTTTCAATTTTTTTTGGTTCATCCATTTTGTTATGAATATAGACATATAATATTATATTTAGATACATAGCAAGATGGATGTATTAAAAATATCAAAGCGACTTATAATTTGAAACGGAGCGAGTATATTTTACACGTACAAACCAAATTGGCCCGGCTGCTGCTACTAACTACAGTAGTACTAGTCAATAATTTCAAATTGCAATCGCCTTTGCCGCTCTCCAAAGTCAACAAGCCAAATGCTCGCTCTGTCTCTACCTAGGATTGGATCATTGGAAGGACGTCACGACCTAGCTATCGCAGCTCCGGGTACTTGAGCTTGCTGACGGCGGAGCCGGAGAAGGAGGTGGAGTCGTCGTCGTCGTCCATGAGCAGCAGGTTGTCCATGACCATGTCGTGCGACCTCATGGTCCCGCCGGACCTCACGCTCGCCGCCGCGGGGGAGAAGGGGCAGCCGAGCCCCCTGTTGCTGTTGGTCTTCTCCGCAGCCGCCGCCCGCTCCAGCGCCATGGCGTCCTGGATCTCCTTGACCACCTCAGGCATGCAGGGCCGCTTCCGGGGCTCCACGTCGATGCACCGCACCGCAGCCTCGGCGATCTTCCAGACGGACTGCACGTCCTGGTACTCGCCCGCCATGGAGATGGAGGGGTCGATGATGGCCTCGATGTCTCCGCTCTCGTAGTAGAACTTGGCCCACGGCCCGATGTTGCGGAAGTGGTCGCCGAAGGCGATGGTGGAGATGGGAGGGCGGCCGGAGATGAGCTCCAGCAGGATGATGCCGAAGCTGTACATGTCGCTCTTCTCAGTCAGCTGCTGAGAGATGTAGTACCTGATATGATTCAGAGATTGGACTGGATTCAGACAGAGCACGTCCTGAACTGAACATCATGGAAATTAGCTAGAATGAATGAATGAATGAAACATTCAGGCTCAGGGTTTGGATTGGATTCAGAGAGGGATTTCTACTCACTGCGGGTCCAGGTAGCCCAGTGTCCCTCTCACGTTGGTTGACGCATGAGACTCCTTCCCCTCCGCTGCCAGCAACTTGGAGAGCCCAAAGTCGGACACCTTGGCCCTCATATGCTTGTCCAGAAGGATGTTGCTCGTCTTGATGTCTCTGTGGATGATCGATGGCGTGCATCCAGTGTGGAGATACTCGATCCCTTTCGCAGCATCCTCGGCAATCTCAAGCCGCTTGATCCAACTAATGTGCTTGTCGCGCCCTGCAAGTCAGTCAAATAATAATGACATTCATATATAAATGGTAGGGAAGCCGATGGAGGAGATATAGATCGTCGAGCTGAGTTACCATGCAGCTGCTCTTTGAGCGTTCCATTGTGCATGAACTCGTACACCAGAATGTTTCTCCCATCCTCATGGCAATAGCCTAGAAACGCCACTAGGTTCCTGTGGTGTATCCTCGAGAGCAAAGCCACCTCGTTTGAGAACTGCTTCTTCCCCTGGTACGAATCGTTGCTAGGCACCTTCACAGCAATCTCCTTTCCATCACTCAGCTTCCCGTAGTACACTATCCCAAACCCCCCTGAACCGATCCTGCTCGCAAACTTGTTGGTCGCCGCTTCAAGCTCACACAGTCTGTAGGGATGAGCCGTCTCGGTGGCGATTCTTCCACTCGACTGCCTCGTCGTGCTTGGATAATTCTGCAACTTCTTGTTCTGCTCTGCAGGCAGCACCTTCTCTGCAACGACATCGTCGTCATGTGGACCTCCTGCATGCGGACCACCGTGAAGTTGACTTAGTTTTTAACCAACACTAGAGCATGCATCAAAATATGCAAGTTCGGTCGTACTGTATCTATCTATCAATCATAAAGAACACCAGAGCGCGCGCTGTCGACAAGAGGAGCTGAAGATGCAATCTTCATGCAGAAACAACAAATTAAGCAGTGATCTGACCTTCTGCTGTGGATGAAGAGTCCCTGTTCATGGCTTTGCGTGTCAGCATGTAGCAACATAGGGCGGCTGCAAGTAACAAGGATGCTCCAAGCAGAGCAGATATAATGATGATTACAATTACATGCTTCTTCTCTTGCTTCCCTATTCCAAGATACATGTTCCCAGAGTAGCTGAAAATTTACATATTGTTAGCTGATAGCTAAATTTACTCGATCAATGCAAGAAGAAATTAAACTGCAGTTGCAGTGTGGTGGGAATGGGATTCAGTAACTAGCTTGGAGCAAAACAAATTAAATATCATATCAGGGAGAGAATGCTGCGCACTTGAAAATAATGCTTCGACTTAGCAGAGCCCGGGGAATGGATCCAGACAGCTTGTTGTTTTGAAGGTACCTGCATTATTGTATTGGTGAAAAGCTTAATTATTTAGGTAATTAGAAGGCAAATTGGAAGTTTTTTTTACCTACAAATAAATTCAAAGACTGCCTTGGGCTATGTCACATACTAGCTAGTAGTTCCTTAGTAGCATAGCATGAGAAGGATGCTTAATTATTATTATTATTACAAGTAACATGTATAAATTAAAAAGCAAGGCAGTTTATCAAATAAACTAAGGTTCCAAAGTATGTGCACATAAGTTGAGCTTTCTCATTTCAGGTAGGTAGGTACTACGTTCCAATATAATGTTTGACCAGGTAAGGACCACTTACAGCTCGCTCAGTTTTGGCAAGCTTCCAAAGTATGAAGGAACATTTCCGGTCAGTTGGTTGTTCTCGAGATGACTGCATGCATGCATTTTAACGAGGAAAGGTCATGAGAAAAACTTAAAAGATGAACCGGCTAAGCAAATACATGAACCGAACTGAAATTTGTACTACTGTAGCTCCGATCCTCACATGATGGATAGGTTGGAGGAGCCACTGAGATCAGGAATTGGGCCCGTCAACATGTTATTAGCAAATCCGCTGCAAGGAATTAAAACCCGCATATTAATATAACCAAGCGTTCGATGGACCATGTATACAACCAACCAACCATGGACTGTAGAACAGAATCGATTGCGAGCTTACATCTCTGCTAAGCATGGCAAAGCCACTACATCGGGTGGTATGTTCCCTGTCAAGTTCTTTCCTGAAAGATTTCTGATGGATGACAACAGATTACATATATATATTGTCAGTGGCTCAGATCGAGATGAAGGATTTATATTTATATATATTATTAGGAACAACTGAAAGCTAGCTGAGTCGTTGGTTCGTTAATTACATACATGGAAACAACTCTTGGTTGTGCTTCTGAAGTGCATTTGACCCAAGACCAAGGTGAAGGTAGGCAGGGATCGCCGCCTTCCATTGCCCAATCAGCGAGCGGGTAACGCGACGCCAGGCTTGCCATCACAGGTGCTGCACGCAGTAGTAGGAGTATGGGCAGCAGGAGGGGTATATATTATTAGTGTATATCATTATCATGAGTAGTGGTGCATTTAGCTGCTAGAGTAGAAGTACTTCGTATGTGATAGATGGTGATGGACATGGTGTACCAATGCAAGCAATTAATAATGCAATTCGCAAGGCACAAGTAGCTAGTTTATCAGAGATACTTATATACCATCTGGGTTCTGGGGAGAGAGATGGATGGTTGAACTTGAACTGAACGACAATGCAATATGCACGGCATATATACATACCATCTGGCGAGCCGAGATCGATGTGGATGTACTTGTATATCTCGAAGGCGTTGAGAATAGGCCCCTTGGATGAATCGTTGGTCTTCCTGAAGGCGAAGGAGAGGACGAAGGGCAGCGAGATGTTGAAGAAGCCTGGCTCGTAGAGGCGGTACTTTCCCGGCGCGTTCTCGCCGATGTCCACCGTGGGCTTGCTGACGTCCGGCAGGCCCGGGATGTAGAGCTTGAACTTTCGCGTCTCGGGGACGACGAACTCCTCGATCTCGGCGAAGTAGGAGAAGGCCCAGCCGTTGCCAGGGAAGCCTGGGAGGTCGAGGCGATAGGTGAGCTCGCCGAGGGAGCCGACGACCGCCGTCTGCATCACCTTCTGCGGGGGCCTCTCGCTGGAGGCGACGAAGACGGGCCTGTCGGTGGAGACGTTGACGGTGCCAGCGGCGACGTCCACCAGGTAGTTGGCCCTCCTGACCATGTCGGACTCCCAGATCCTGTCGTAGGGGTCGTCCGGGTACCTGACGGGGTCGGCGGTGGGCGCGCCGAAGTTGATCCTGGCGGAGAGGGCGAGGAAGGCGTCGGCCTCGTAGTCGGTGTAGTAGAGGGAGCCGTTGAGCTGGCGAAGCTCCAGCGTGGAGATGAAGGGCTGCCCCGTGGTGGCGGCGCTGGAGAGGCAGACGCTGAGGGCGGGGTCGGCGGCGAGGACGACGGCCTCCCTGGTGACGACCTTGGCGTCGTCGTAGATGACGATGGTGGACCAGTGGGAGGCCCCCAGGTAGAGGTCGAACTCCGGGAACACGTTGCTGCTGTCGAAGTTGCCGTAGAGGAAGGTGGCGCGGACGAGGTAGCGGGTGCGGGTGCGGACGCGCAGCGTGTAGCAGTGCTTGTTATTATTATTATTATTGGTGGACGGCGCCGGCGACGAGGGGAAGTAGCGCACCGTGGAGTACTGCGCGCGCTTCTCGGAGGGCACGGAGATGGTGGCCGTCTGCCCGAAGGGGAACCACCCGGCGTCGCCCGTCCACTGCAGGCCCAGCTCGTCCGTGTAGTTGGCGGAGCCGCCGCAGTCGATGCTGACGAAGCCTGTGCTTGTGTTGTGGTGTCATCAGGTACTCATCTGAACATCTATCTGATTGCATTGTACGTAGTATTGTGTTTTACTACAGTACTCACCAGGCACCTGAGCATCGGAGGCGGTGAAGAAGACGGCGGCGGCGGTGAGGAGGACCAAGAGGAAGCAGCGGCAGCCGTAGCAGGAATAGCTGCTTGATGCCATCGTCGTCTGCGCTCTGTGTTCCTGCCGATGAATGAATTGAATTCTATCTCACGCTAAAGCTAATTCAATTGCAATAATTGCATCCCTCTCTCGCACGTCCGTACCATGTATCCTTTCTTCCTTCCCTATTCCTTACAGGCGAAGTAATAACTAACCTACAGTACACGGAGAGTGAGTGAGAGACTAGCCGAGAGTGTATAGCGTAGGCTGTAGCAAGCACAACTGCAGGAGGAGGAGGAGGAGCCGGAGGACGCTGCCGGTGCCGGTGCCGGTGCCGGCTGCCTCAAGCCCTCAAGCCCTCAATTCGATTTCGATGTAAGGAAAGGAAGCAAGGCAAGGGAAAGGAGCTGCGCCTGCACACTGCACACTGCACACTCAGGCCTGCTCACTCCTGCCTGTCCTAAAAAGCGGCAGTCGGCATCGCATATTCGCGGGCGTCAGTGGGAACGGAACGCAAATAAACGACCCAAAAAATCAAAAGGTTATCACCGTGGACATGGAGCCATGGATTGATTATTTTTTTAGGAAACATGGATTGATTGGTCACAGCTGCCCATAGGCGCTGTCACAGAGAGAGAGAGAGAGGGTAAAGTCGCTCGTTAGCTGCTGCTGTTTGGTTCAATTGAATGAATGTCGATGGGACCGAGGGGACCGAGCAAGCAAAGCAACTGAAGAACAGAACCAACGGTGCATGGGCTCCTCTGCCTCCCTCCGTCGTACGAGTAGTAGATCTCAACCAGCCAACCAGGCCATCTTCTGACCATGGCCAACAACAAAGGCAAATCCACTGCTGGATTGAGATTGGGATTGGGATTGCACTTGGATGGATCATGGCCACCAATAGCAATACCATTTCTTTTCTTTAGCCGATTCAATTCCTTTTGTGCTGTATGATGCCCATTCACAATTCACATGCATCTCCATGCCCACATTTAACACTGTATATAACTATTATGTATGTATTGATTCAGAGGACAGCTTAAAGTAATAATGCAAACAAAAGCAAGCTGGAATAAAGCCACAGCATGTAAAGCTACATATGACTTGTACTACTACCACCCTACCACCAAGTCTCCAGTAACATCTCAAAGTCCAATGAAACTTTCTTTTATTTGTGTGGCACGCACGAGCATGGCCACGGCACCAAAGTTGCTCCTCCCCCTGCTATTCCAGAAAGGCCAACACCCGGACAATGCAATGCACATCCATCCATCCTAGCATCTCATCTTAGTTACTACACACGGCTAGCTTCTTGCAGCAGCCAAAGAAAAGCTACCGCCTGCCTTTTACATACATCCGTCATGCACAACCACTTTGCACTGCGTCTATACATTGCTTTGCTCTCCCATCCAAGCCACCAGCTCAAATGTATTTATTATAATATTAAAGTTACTTTTGGTTTTGTAAGCTTCACTTATTATAATAAATAATACTCTTGGTTCTAAATTTTAAGTCGCTATGACTTTTTTTCCTATAGAATTTGCTATGTATCCGACACACGTTATATCTAGGTATATAACAAAATGGATGTACCAAAAAGTTAAAGCGACTCATAATTTGGAACGGAGGGAGTATTATAAAGCCATTTTCAGTTTGGTAAGTTGCTTTCCCTTTGATAGAGTGGTTCTCGTAGACGAATTGACGGAAAATGATTATAAGAGAGATTAAATGGAGAGCAAGGCAAAAACAAGCCGTCACCACTGTGGGGGTTTGACCCTCAGTATCCATAAGACAAGATATGGGCCGCACCACCAGAGGTGGCCCAGCCTGCAAGACTGTGCTTGGGTCACGCCATTAGTGGAGGCCCAGCTCACAAGACTGTGCTGTACAAGGTGCGTTACCGTTAGCGTGCCTCGCAAGATTGCATGAAGATTTCTGGCGATCTAGAAGACCTGCTCGGATACACTAGATCCCACGATATTTGTAACTTCCTATCGTGTAAGATCGATCAGGATAGAAACAATCGATCTATAACCTTACTCCCGGGCTATATAAGGCAGGTAGGGACCCCCTCGTTTTGATCGAATCATAAGGAATACAATCCACAAAGACATAGGACGTAGGGTATTACGTCAAGTCGATGGTCTGAATCTGTCTAAATCGCTGTCTTTTGCGTTCTATGTCACCATCCGGCTCCCTCACACGCACCTCCACCGATTCATCTACTACCGTGGGCATACCCCTTGGTAGACTGCCGGACGTGTTTCGTCAACAGTGGCGCACCAGGTAGGGGGTGTGCGTGCTGAATTCATGGCAAACCAGATGGTCACTTTTCCGAGCTCTATGGCCTTTCCCGAGCCAGGCCAGATCTTCACGGTTGGATCCATGACCTGGGTCATCGGCCCCGACGGCAACGAAGAGATCGTGGAGGCGGTGCGGGACCACCCTGCACCGATTGCGCTAACACCTGCAACAACGTCTCCGATCCCGTCGCCCCGCCGCTGGGTTAGGAGATCCATCAGCAACGATAATCTGATCGCGTCTATCGATCGGGTCACAGACCGCTTAATGGAATGTCAGCTCCTCGTGGATTCGGTCTTAGATCAATCCAGAGCGGGTAACGATCTTCCCACACTCCAAGATCACCAAGCCACTACAACCGACCGACCTGCTCAGCGATAACGTTTGAGGCGGCCAGATTCCGATCTGGTGATCACGGCTACTCCAGAAGGACGCACAGCGCGGCACCGACCATTTCCTGCTACCGGCCTATGCACGGCCGACTACGTTGGGGGATCTACCGAAGCCCTATCCTCTGGAGCTGGAGGGTGCGGGATCCGCGTACCAGAACACCATCCACCACCTCTTCGTCGATCACGTTGAGCGTGACCACGTCACCGACCTCTACATGATCGACCCGACTGACTCCGGTCAACGCGCGCCCGTGGTCAACATGGTGGCTCACCGCCAGCTTTCAGATGATCCCTCCCTCCCAACCGAGTCTCTTCATAATGTTCTAGATGAGAGCTCCGATGACTATTCCAAGGGCTCGACCCGGACCAAGCCAAGCTGCCCTGCTTTCCCTCTAGGGTTGGGGGCATGATTTTCCACGTTAGCCACGATAGCGTCTCCAAGGATGCCAAAAGTGCTAAAGAGCGTGCGGCTTGTCTGGCGAAGAACGCCGATCGCCAACGTCATCGAGATGCAGAAGCAGCCCAAGAGGCCCATGAGGATGGTCACGGTCCTTCCCACCATCAATGCAATCTAGAGGACGCATTCGACATGGTGGGCGACTAGCTAGTTTACCAAACTCCGAGCACTAATCTGGCCGCCGCGTTCAATGAGCTCGACAAACTCCCTCGCACTCAAGAGGTCGAGAAGGTCCTAGCGCATATCATAGCGGCGCAGGTCCAAGTCAATGAGTTCTAGAACGATGCCCCGTCTTATTCCACCGCATCAACTCAAAGCCACCGCTCTCGTTGTGATGGAGGAGGCCAGCACCACGACGCCGAGGGCCCCCGACCTCACGCCGGGGTTCCTTACCTCTATAGAGGTTTTAGAGGCAACCATGAAGCTCATTCACGCCACGACGGCCGTCCTCCACGCCCCTAGGGAGGTTGCGGTGGCAACCACAACCAGGAGGTCAATCAACCCCCTCTCATGACCACATCAATGCTGGCATGGATGCCCGTGGCCGACATAAAAAATAGTAGGGCTGCACACTACGATGCGGAGTTGGAGCGTTGTCGGCAATTCGATGTCGAACATGAGGGATTTACCGCTCGTCAACCTCCTCTTCCTGCCGGCACATCAGGACTCTACCCCTTCACGGAAAGGCTCTAAGCTGTCCGGTGGCCTGTGGGCTTCAAGGTCCTCGGTGTTAATACCTATGACGGAAAGGCCAACCCCGCTCAGTGGCTAACTCTATACGAGATCGCCATGAGAGCTGCAGGCAGAGACGAGGATGTCATGGTGAATTATCTACCCATCATGCTTAATCAGTCTGTGAATAACTGGCTCCTCAGCTTATGGGACAAGTCCATCCGATCTTAGGACGACCTTAAGAAAGCCTTCACCAACAACTATATGGCTACGTGTGAACAGCCCGGCACCAAGTTCGACCTAGAGAAGCTTCATCAGTATTCCGGGGAATCTCTGTGCGACTTCATCAAGCGCATATCAAAAACAAGAAACTCCATTCCTAACATCTCTGATGCCGAGGCCATCGTTGCTTTCACCGAAGGGCTCTGGCACAAGCAACTTCATGGCAAACTGTACGACAAGAGGCCTACAACCATCGGCGAGCCGATACGAACAACAAATGGATATGCCGATGTCGAGGAAGCTGAACGGGCTGCCCGCTTTGCTCACCATCAACGCTGCGATGATGATCGACGCGATGATAGGCACTATGATGACCGCAACCGCCGCTGTGATGACCGCGACTGCCGCGACGACCGCGACCGCCGCTATAATGACCGCAAGCCCCGGCGTGATGACCGCACGGACGGTTCGAGAGGCAGACAGGGCCGCCGTCACTGACCTGATAACTCCATCAATGCTGTTAACTCTCGTGCCAAGCATACCTATGATGCCAACTTTGGCAAGTTGCTGGATGGCCCATGCCCTATCTACAAGGACGACAAGCACACCATGTAGGAGTGCAGAGGCCTAAAGACAGCACTCGGCGGTGAATCATCAAAAAGGCCACGGCGCGATGATGATGAAATCGAAGATGGTCAAGGTGGAGAATGAGGTAAGAACAAGGGCCCAACCTACCAGGACCCTACCAAGACTGTCGCCACCATCTTTGGTGGGAGAGCTATCTCGGAAGACAAGCGTGAGCAGAAGCTTGTAGCCCGACGTGTCATGTCGGTCGCTACATATGACGGCCCCGTCGCTAATGCCAAGTAACTTGACTGGTTGGAGCACCCTATCACGTTCACCAGGGCCGACCAGTGGTCCGACATCCCATATCTAGGCATTTCTCGCTCGTCCTGGATCCAATTATCAAGGACGTGCGCTTTTAGAAGGTCCTCATCGACGGAGGAGCACCCTCA